TCTTCTTCTTCTTAATCTCTTGGTTTTTAATTTTTCATTCATTCCTTTTTTCTTTTTTTCTTTCAATACCATATGAGATTTCTTATATTAAGTATGCTTAAGGATAGTATATCCCACTAAAATAGCTTAGACTATTTACTTTAATACTTCTAAGCTTATATATTTATGATCTATCTTCTAATTTTTAAATGTGAGACTTTTTTTATATTCTAATAAGGGTGCCTAGCTAACTTATAAACCAAACTCCACTAATATGACCTCCCGATATGGGACTCATAACAAAATATCTTCATCTTTGTAACTTATCATATTTTTTTGACTAAAAATTAAATTCATTCAAGAGATTGGAAAGAAACACAGTACAAGACCCTAAGACTAGAAAAGAAGAGAGCAATCAATCATCATTCACCTCCTATCCTAAAGTAAGGTAGGGGATGATCAAAGATGTAAAGAGGGCTCTCTGTCAAATGAGCTTCCTTACCAAGGTAGTGAGCATGACTAATAATATCTCTAAAGAGAAATTTTAAAGACAAAGACCACTCCTTAAGAAGAAAATTACAAGCATTTTGAATAATTTCATGATAGGGATGATTTTCATGGTGACTTGTAGTGATGAGGTTGATGGCTTCCACACTGTCTAAGCAGACCTCGGTATTTTTGAAACCATTAGAGCAACATAGTTCTAGTCCTTCAAAAATAGCCAAGACTTCGGTAATGGTAGATGGGCAGCTTCCAAGTTTACAACAAAAACCCATTACCCACTCCCCCTTATCAGTAGTAATGCATCCTACACAAGTAGCTAAACCATTGAGTTTAGAAGACCTATTAACATCGAGTCTGACAAAGCCTTGCGAGGCCTTATGCTAGGTATAACCACAAATATTGTCAAATTGAGAAGATTTTAGTTTACCTATATACTTCTAATTAGCCATGGCTTTGAGGAAACTTTTGTTGGAATCCGGTTGAATGAGTTGGGCTTGATCATTGAATAGATTTTTGCATCTTATTGTCCAGAGTTCCCAGCATGTATAAGTAAAGACTGTTACCCATGGGAATTTCATTATATTGTTGTTTCCCGGGGAGTTCTTTGAGTTCCACTTGATCCATTCAAGGTATTCATGTTATGAAAACTAGGCCATAACTTTGTTTTCACTATCTATCTCTATGCGTCCTAGGCTAACCTACAGTCATGAATGATATTCATTGCATCATTCTCTTTTCCACACCTAAAAGGACAGGCATTTGTATCAGCAATACTCCTTTTCTTCCTTAAGCTTGCTGTGTGAAATTTATTTTTTTCCCAATAACTAGATGAAAGCTTTGATCTTTTCTGGGATGTTCTACTTCCATATTTTGTCCTTCCCTAGTGATGTACTTGTAGAAAGAAAATCATAGGCAAAACAAATATTAAAAGAGCCATCAATGGATGGCTTCGAGACATATTTGTCTCTCCCTCTCATCTCACAGGGTGGTCTAGTGTTAGTGATTCAATTCACAATAGAGTAATGAAGCCAGTTCCTCATTTAGTGTGATCCCAAGAGCCATCTGTATGGATGAATTGCTCAATATTAATCTCAAGGCCTAAGGGTTTGTTGTTATTTTGAATGAAGTTCACCAAGGGCATATTCATAGCAGACCAGTTATCACACCAGAAATTAGATAACCTTCTAGGAATACAGAGCTTGTCAATACCATCGAGGAAGGTGTCCCAAACTTTATGGATACTTCTCCATGTCATAGAGGATTGTCTTCTCCAACAAACCAAAGGTACAGTGTTGGAGCCACATTTGGATTTAGATTTTAGGAGTTGAACTTGTAGCGCATCATTATCACACACCAAGTTCCAACGAAGTTTTAACATAAAAGCTTTGATTTTGGCGAGATAGATTTTTAACCCCCAATCCAACTTCTTCATGGTGTCTCTTCACCATATCCCATGTGACCAAATGAACTCTTTTTCTCATTTTCCAAACTACCCCAGAGAAAAGATTTGCTAGCTTTCTCAACTTCAATCAATAACTTCTTTGGGAGAAGCATAGTTTGCATGTGATAATTAGGTAAGGCTGTAAGAATAGACTTGATGAGAGGAGATCCACCAGCTAAAGTAAGCATTTTACCCTTCCATCCTGACAGCTTCAATTGAACTTTACCCAATATGGGTTTGAAATGGTTGTATGAGGCTCTTGAATGTAGTAGGGGAATCCCAAGATATTTACCTAGATCACCGGATAGCCCTATACCCATAATCTTGCTTAGATCCATAATATATACTCTGCATATGAGTGCAAAAAAAAAAAAAAAAGAAAGGAAGGATATTATGATATTTTTTCTGGAACATATTATCTTTCAAGGACCATGATTCCCTGCAAACTTTATTTCTATATCAATTGGGATGATTCATGACCAAATATTTAAACTTTTTAGTCCTTATGGCCAATTTTCCAAGAGACTACACAGAAGAACAAAGACGAATGAGAATAATCAACACAATAATCAAGAGTTTTTGTATTATCATCATGATCACGATTCAATTAAATCCATTAATCTTTTCTTCTACTTTGTTCCTCTTCCATTCTGATTACTTTGCATATACTTAATTAAGAATGTCTTTTGATGTAGTTACATTATCTTTATATTAAAACCAGAGGTACAAGAATTACACTTAGAGACGGACCCACATTCTCCTTTCGGTGCGGCCAATTAACTTTATCATCATTTTATCAAGTTGTTTTATTGCTGTAAATGATTTTATCATAGCAATAAAATACAATCATAAATATAAATTATTTAAAATTGACAAGGACTATTTTATTCTTGAGAAAGACCCCATATTATATATACATTATATTGTGCCCCTTCCTCTGCGTCATGGGATGTATGAATTGACTTGGACTTGGAAACATATGAACGTGAGTAGAAAAATGAGTTCTTCAGTTGCATCCATGAGCCATAAAATATTGAGGAAATTTCCTCAATTGTAAAACCTCAATACTTTCATTTTTGTTACCATAAAATCCTATAAAATGAATAAATTGGTAAGTAGTATTTTTTTTTTATTATGACGGTCTTCTTTGATAATTTTTTTTTGTGAATATTAGAAGAATTTTTGGAATTTCAAAATAATATTCAATAATTTCTTTTTCATTTTACCCCCATTTAATCCAACAATTTAACTCGTTTATTTAATATAACTAAAACTTTTAAATGAGGGGAAAATTTAATAAAATATGTCATATTTTTACAAATTTATTATATTTTTTTGATCTATGTATAAGAACTTTAAAAAGACCAATATAAATAGAGGGAATATAACTACTAAATTAAGTACAAGCAAAAAAAAAAATGAAAGCTATTAAATTAAAATATGTTTTATCTAAATTTGCAGAAAAATTCTAGTGGGGGCCGGATTGAGTTAAACTAGTAATTCCGTTAATTGTTTCTTAAATCAATGAAATTTTTTTTAACACAACCTCATCGTATAGGCAATTAAGCAGCTATAAATCTGAACATTTATACTTTAGAGGATTTAATTGATATTTATTTATAATTTTCTGAGTCATTTTCTACAATTTTTGAGATTTTTTTGTTATTCTTTTCAGTCAACCAACAGTCAAAGTTAATACTTGTTAATACTTGATGCAGCATTGCACTGTTTTCAAATTTTAAAGAGCAGTATTACCCTACAAAAGAAGATTAAAATACTATACGCTTTTATGCAAATAGTTAAAGGGAAAAAATATTTTTTGCCATCCTATTTTCTATGTCATTTGATTCAAAA